TCCCATCCAAAATTGCCGGGATCCACGCAAACCTTCACCATATCGCATAATGCGGTCAGCAACATATTTATCACCTTCAGCAATCATGTCTTGGATATTTCTAACTGTAAGTTACTCATCACTAAATTTTTGTTTAACATACACTTTCCCTTCTTGCAGTGCCCGCCATCGCATTATTGAATTCAATGCAAAATATCTCCAACGCGTATGTCGTGCAAATCTTCCATCTTTGTACTGAAGCAGATGTTTGAAATATTCTGCTGGATTGATATCTCTAATGCGTTCTGACCGAAGATCGGACTTTCCTGTCGGGTAAAGAGTTGGGAAAGCACGTGCAATATAACCCGGTGTTCTAAATTCGTTAATGGGAGTATTTTCTATATTTGGCCATGGTAAAGGATTGCTCTCACTTTGCATATGGTTAAGAGTTTCGTTAATGGCAGCATCTTCTCTGCGAACTGGTGGAAGAGACGGAACAAAGGTACGAGTAATTATATCATCCTCGACTTCATCATTATCTGATTCTTCAGCGACTATTTCATTATTTGTGAGCTGATCATCAACGTAACCATTTGTAGGTAAGGACTGAAGGACGCTTTCATCAATTGTAATTTCATTATAATACCGATTATTTTCTCTTAACCACATTAATGCACGAGCAACCTTCTCGCGACGGACTTGGAAATCCCTAAAGGATTCTGACCTTGCCGACTGGCGGCGTACAACTAACACATCCAATGATGAAGGACTTCGGGGAAGATGTGTAGTGAATTCATGTACATCTTGTGGAAAGTTTATTACGTTTCCACGATACCCGTATTGCCCACCACGAAGTTTATAGACAGACATTACTGGGAAAACTTGCGCAATTAACATTTCTTCTATTTCTGTAAGTCCTTGCAATTCTTCAGGTACTTCACCAGGGTTCATGTCATTTTCTTCAGAGAACTTTTTTGGTAAGGTCTTTTCACTGTAACAACGACGACATTCCCCCATAACAAGAACTATTGATGGAAAGCTTTCATTACATACGGGGCAAAGCGTATATTTGACCTTATCCATTTTAGTCCGAAATTTTCGTAGAAGATCACGATCGAGTTCGCTAATATCAGCAGCAGAAAGTAGTTCAACAGGTGTAGTTGTACTAATTTGTATCTCCTGAATATTAGTATGTTGCATTTCTTGCTCATTAATATTTAATCCACTTTCTTGTCTCACTTGTTCACTACCATTATTAATACTACCATCAACACCATTCGCACTATCATTCACTCCATACATACCATCAATCATAACATTCGCATCATTCATACCATTATTCATATCATCATTCGTACCATTGTTACCACCATCGTTCGCACCATCATTCACTCCATTCTC